AGAGTGAAGCAAGTAAGCGTTTATAAAGCTGTCATCACGTCTACCTATTATTATTATTATTATTATTATTATTATTATTATTATTATTATTATTACTGACGAAAGGGGCGTTTTGCTATGGAAGATGTAGGATTAAGGCCTATTAATATCAAGGATAGGATGTTACTACATGCGCTAAAGGAGTACATCGTGTTCGCTGGCTAAATGGAGCTGCCCAACCCCACCCGTCTCCCCTTATTTTTTTTGTCGGCCCTTGTTTAGGCATTGACGACTTTATTATAGAAGATGTCAGACTTCATTAGTTTCCTCCTGTACTAGTGTTTGCTTATTAAGTGAAAATACCTAAATGAAATGATGTACGCATAGCAAACATCATTAGTGCTTTGCCTCACAATGCCTTACTTTCTGTGCATCATTCTCACGCACCGGTTAAAACACAATTAAGGCACCTAGATTACATATCAAAGCCGTCGTCTGTCGAGTAATATAGTGAAAGTTGAGTTTATCACTTGTAATCCTGCGTGGGCTTTAACGCGCGGAAGAAATACAATTTCATGCTTCACCTCCCCTTTTTACTGTTTCTACGCAAAATATATGAAACGTGGCTTTTTACTGCACATTACTGGCGCCAGAACTTATAAAAATGTTTACGAGAGCCCTTATTCAAGACATCAATGTTGTGCAAGATGAATTTTCGTTTATCAGCAAAGCCAGTTGAACTAGTTCAACTTGGAACAGCTTTGGCATTCAAGGAACACGAAAGGCAAATATTAGGTCGATGTTGATTGCTGAAATAGCGATCCAGAAACCTAGTGGTGCTAGCTTAGGGCCAAGGAAGTGCTTATTTAACCAAATCACGTTTGAGTGGTCCACATCGCGTTAGCACACTTCAAATTACCCGCCCAAAGTGGAAGCTTTCACGTCACAGTTGCCGTGCACAACGTTGCCTGGCTTTAGTGCGCGGCCGCCGACACTAGTAGCAGTAGAACGAAAGTAGCAGGAGCCACAGCAGCAACAACAGCAATTAAACAATTTCCGGTCATGAATCCCGAGATGACAGGCGTGCTTGTTTCAACTGGGCCCCACTAGATGGCACGACTTATCTAGTTTAACTAAATGCAGGGGCTTTAAGTTTAACACGGCAGAAATTGAATTTTTGAACCCCTCGCACCAATCGCCATAGTTAGATCCGGTGATTCTTCTTTCCATGAATCAATCATAAAGGAACACGCGGCATTGTATTACGTCTCCTAATGAACGCAAGGTTATTTATTTAGTGGAGCTAGTTCAATTACCAGTGATTGTAGGTAGTAAGTCTTACGTCATTGGGACCATTTTGCGAATGTCCTAGTTGTGGCGCATAGGTTCTTGTGCATTTATGTTAATTTCACGGTAAGTATAGGGCACTGCTGTAGATAATATTGTCCTTTTAGGCGTTGTCATACACTGAGATTTCTATCTAACTTCAATTGTTATTTTAAATTATTGTCGCAATAGAGCCTTCCAAGAAAATATAGACGGCTTTGCAAAATGGCCTCCCCACCGCTTGGAGTTGCCCATGATAAGACATTTCGTTGCCAGATTTTGGTGCCTGTGAACGACAGGACAACAAGCTTTCCTGCTTGTGACATGGTTTTGCAACTGTTGTTACATTACGCTTGCAGTGCTCAGAAAGTGAAACACGATGATGTGCTCACATGATAGTCGGTACTTTTTGTCTGTTAGTTTACGCCACAAGTGATCACTGGAGCACCAAAATGCTTATCAAGGCAGAGATGCGATGATAGTGGTTTACGTGTTTCGTAGATGGAAAATTACCGCTATCATTGACTGGACCACGTCCAATTGCCGCACAAGGATTCTGTAAAGGAAGGAAAATAGGAGGAAAAGAATGGCAGGGAGGTTAACCAGCCTATAGGCAGCCGGTTTGCTACCCTGCGCACGCGAGGGGGATGGGGAGATGAAAGATAGAGAGCAGAGAGGGAAGAGAGATAAACACAGCACATTCGGCAGATGTTGAACAACACAAGCTGAACCGTGCCCTGCAGCTTCACTATAACCCAGCCTTGCGCGAGCTAGTGTAAGTTGTGCCAATTTTGTTGCATACAATTAAACATATAGCCTTGGTCCACCCTGCAGCAGTTTCTACGCGCATGCTCATTACCCAGAGCTAATCAGGGATGTTTTCAAGAAAACACCAGCCATACCAATTATTAAATTTCAATTGCTAAGCATCATCATCATCATCCTGACTACGTCCACTGCAGGACAAGCGCCGCTCCCATGTTCGGCCAGTTAACCCGGTCCTGTGCTTGCTGCTGCCCATTTATACCCGCAAACTTCTTAATCGCATCTGCCCACCTAACCTTCTGTCTCCCCCTAACTCGCTTGCCTTCTCTGGGAATCCAGTTAGTTACCCTTAATGCCCAGCGGTTATCCTGTCTATGCACTACATGCTCGGCCCATGTCCACTTCCTCTTCTTGATTTTAACCATAATATCCTTAACCCTTGTTTGTCCCCTAATCCACTCTGCTCTCTTCTTGTCTTTTAAGGTTACACCTGCCATTTTTCTTTCCATTGCTCACTGCGTCCTCCTCAATTTAAGCTGAACCCTCTTAGTAAGTCTCCAGGTTTTTGCTCCGTAGCTAAGTACCGGCAAGATACAGCTGTTATATACCCTCCTCTTGAGGCATAGTGGCAATCTACCTGTCATAATTTGAGAGTGCTTGCCGAATGTGCTTCACCCTATTCTTATTCTTCTAGTTACTTCAATCTCGTGGTTCGTCTCTGCGGTTATTACCTGCGCTAAGTAGACATTGTATTTTACAACTTGAAGTGCACTATTACCTATCTCAAAGCGCTGCTCTTTTCCGAGGTTGTTGTACATTACTTTCGTTTTCTGCAGATTTATTTTAAGACCCACCTTTCTGATCTCCTTGTCTAACTCATTAATCATGAGTTGCAATTCGTCCCCTGTGTTACTCAGCAATGCAATGTCATCGGCGAAGCGCAGGTTATTAAGGTACTCTCCGTTAACTCTTATCCCTAACTGTTCCTATTCTAGGCTTTTGAAAACCTCCTGTAAGCACGCGGTAAATAGCATTGGGGAGATTGTGTTCCTCTGCTTTACACCCTTCTTGATTGGTATTCTGTTGCTTTCTTTATGAAGTACTATGGTAGCAGTTGATCCCCTGTAGATTTCTTTTAGAATGTTTATATATACTTCATCTACGCACTGATTCCGCAGTGTCCGCATGACGGCTGATATTTCTAATGAATCAAACGCCTTCTCGTAATCTATGAAGGCTATGTATAGAGGTTCGTTATATTCTGAGCATTTCTCTATTACCTGATTGATAGTATGAATGTGGTCAATTGTTGAGTAGCCTGTTGGAAATTCTGCTTGTTCCTTTGGTTCATTGATTTTAATGCTTTCTTTACTCTGTTAGCAATGAACTTTATAAATAGCTTGTATACTACAGAGAGCGAGCTGATCGGCCTGTAGTTCTTCAAGCCCTTGTCATCTCCTTTCTTATGTATTAAGATGATGTTAGCATTCTTCCAAGACTCTGGTGCTCTTTCCAAACTAGTCACCTTGTAAACAGGGTGGCTAGTTTTACTAACACAATAGTTCCTCCATCTTTCAGCAGATCTGATGTTACCTGATCCTCGCCAGCAGCTTTACCTCTTTACAGTTTAAAACTGTTTACAGAAGTTTTACAGAGATCTGTACAGTAGCCTAGGCAACCACGACCTTAATACTATAAGAACTAGCAGTAACCCAGATGACACCCCACCAGTAATGATAGAAGTCAGAAAAGCTCTGGATTCCTTACTATTCCTTACGTCCGAATGGCAGTAGAGTATGCTGTTATTGCAGTACCTTCAGTTGTACTGCTGTGGCACGCAGCGAAAGTGCTTTTCTGTTTTAAAGAAGTAAACGGAGAGGAGGGAAATGCAACGAAGCGGTCGATAACTACAACTTCTTAGTTCGGAGAAGCGCATGTATTTTTATATGCTGGCACAGTGAACGTAATCGTCACGGCACACGTAAGCACTAATAAGTGTCGACTGGCACAATCGTCTGTACGTTATCGGAATGACGCGATACGAAATAACACTATAGGAGGAGCGTTTCTGTCGCATAGGGCACGCAGGAAAACTCGAGATGACATATACGCAATATTGATCGTTCCTTCTGGTTTGACATCACTTGCAACTCTCTTCTGGTCTTTGACGCAACTAGTTCCAATCATCAAAGACTTCCTTCAGTATAAGGGATGACGGCTACTCTTCCTGCAGCGAAAAACTTCTTGCGAGGTCGAATTATTTACGTGTGAAGCGATGACCACAACACCAACACGAATACATAACATAGCAATGCTAATAGTTTAGTGTTCACCCTATCGTCTTTTCTTACGACCATCGTGTCACCTACATGATTATTTCCTGAAATATTTGGACTGCGTATTTGTGCTGCTGCTGTACACATTGATAAAGCTTAGTTCATTCTTTCATGGCCCATATTATCGATAGAGCTGCGCGTCTGTCAATTTACTTTGCCAGAGCCAAGTGTAGCCGATTGGACGAAGAAGCGGAAGTACAAGCGTACACAGTTGAAAGACATACAATGCATGTCATGGAAAGAATATAGAGTTGCTTCTATACACAAAGAAATAATAACAGACTGAGGTCGGGTAATGCGTCAAGGCGGGATTGTGCTCGAGTCTCCTCTGGGCCTGTCGGGGGGAGGGGGTCGAATTCTCTGTCATCTTATGCAGCACTGCGACTTAATGCGAAACTCGTGAGACAAATACAAATGCCGGCGGCAGGCAGCATCGCTGCTGGTCTGGTCTCATTATAAATACAGCGTTATCGATCTCGATCTGTCTCGATTTCGCTTTGCTGAACGTATACATTGAAATCGCGATTCCTCAGTCGTTGAGAACATGCTTTTGCAACGAGTGTATGGAGCGACAAGACTATGTTGGATGCCCACCAAGTAGGCGTAACGCCTCTCGACGGTTTCTCGGGTGGCGTCCACGCTCGGATAGGCGACCACGTGGCGGATAACGCTCAGCCTTCGCAGAGCCCTTTCGCGCGTGTCGGCGTCCATCCAGTCGAAGTAGCGCGCCATCGAGTCGTGCACGTCGCTCAGAAGAGCCCGCGTGTCGTTCCAGTCGTCCGGACTCACGCTGTGCTCGGTGAGGAACCAGTTGAGCGGATACGTCGCCATGTCCGACACCAGTTGCAGACAGTGATAGACGGCCTGCGAACGCGAGAGGAAAGCGCACAAACACAATGTGAGAGCCAGCAGCTTCACTGTTTCTGCAGGTTTCACACTGAATGTAACTGGGTGTTGAGCAGCCAAGCTTTTCCCATTACCCACATTGCGTAAAAGAGAGGCTTCTGGGCGCATGGTGAGAGATTAATACACAGCTGACACAAAAAGGCGGCCAGGAGAACGCATGCATTCAGTTGCGTGAACTACAATCAAATCCACCTTTGGAACTCTCGCCAGGAATGCATATGCATCTATAGGCTATGGCTGATAGTTGTAGATGCATCGCCAGAGGAAGCGATACTTCTATGTTTAAATGTTAGGGTCAATGGCGAAAGATAACATATACATAAATTTACCAAAAAAAAAAACTGTCCACTTCTGGTCATGAGAGCGAAATAACTTTATCGACAAGGGTTTGTGATAAGGGGTCAGGAGTTCCATGGGCGGCGCCGCAAGTCCAGGGCTCCAGTGGTCACTGCCGCCTGCCTCACGTGACACAGGAGCGCAAGCTGTACATCAGAGTCAAAGCTGGCGAGCTGCGCCTCCCATTGCTCGAAAGCATTAAGATATTCTGCTTACCTAGAAAAAGGCATATAAACTTGGCGGTAGGTTTAGGCATCTCCACAAAATGCGCTAGAGTGATGGCGAGCCACCACAGTATACGGACAGGCGTGCTCATGCAGCGTTGGAAAAAAAAATTGTTTAATCATTTCAGGTTGAGAAATACCAGCCGTTTGAATACTACAGAGGTTGATCGCGAACTTCCCTTCCAATAATTTGGAGGGGGGGGGGGGGGGGATGGACATTATTGGTAGTCATCGGCATAATCGCATACGCTCTTCACAATTATTGGAGTGACCGGCTTATTCCTTTCTCCTGAATGGATAAAGAAAGCCCTTCTTATTGATTTCATATCCCCTGGTTTCGCCATTTCATTATCTTTTATGACTGGCAAATTCACAGTTTTGTCAGAGAACGTGAGCCTGGGCCGTCCTTGATTGCATTTCCCGGGCCGCGGTGTTTGCCGACGCGCTCCCAATGACAAATCGTCCTCGGAATGCGCGGAAGGAAGAGATGTGCCATATGCCGGCGTAGAGTTCATCAACTGATCACTGTTACAGATTAGCTGCCCTCCTTGGCAACCAATCTATCGCTTGGTCCTGAGGGAACCTTCAGCGGCTATTGTAAAGGACAGTCGGAACAATTTTGCAGTGATTACTCATCGTCGAAATCGTTCATGAAAGTTTTCGAGGCGCCTGTTGAAATTGAATGGACGGAAGCGGCTGTCGTCCCTGTCGTCCAAATTGAAGAATTCTATAGAGAGCAGCACTTCTGCCAACAGGGGTGTTACAAGCGTAGATTTTTTGACATACAGATGACTCGATGTGTAGAGAAAAGATGATATATTAAACGATTTAATAGTTTTTCGGTACTTATGGTATCATATACTTATGGTATCAAACTAAAAAATATAATCATAAAGAGAAATAGTGTGTTCATTTATGTATACCATATACTTATGGTATCAAACTAAAAAATATAATCATAATGAGAAAATGTGTGTTCATTTATGTATACATAGCCTCTGTTAAGGACTTCATGTTGGGAATACCCATCTTATGTGGACCTGTATTTTTGTGAACAGTTCTCATGAAACGCGTAAGAGTTCAGACATGACGATTAGTATAAAAGTGTCCACATAGGGCTATACTCGTCTTCTTGCAAAAATTGATGTCCATGCACCTGGCCACGTTTCTTCTGATAGGTGTACCTGATAAGAGACAAATGCACGAAAAAGAAAACCATATGGTTTCCCGTGGACGTTGATTCAATCTGTAAATCAGGCGTGAAACTTGGCGCTTGCTAGCTCATAGCGGGAATTGGGTATTAGCCTCGAGATCTTCGAGTGGCGCCACGTCGCGTGTGGCGTCAATTTGAGGATTCCCTTTTCAACCTCACTGCAGCCGCTGCAGCTCCTGTACGCAGATCGTCTGCTTCAGACGGAAACTTTGAACTAAGAGCCGAGAGTAAGTTGGTCAACCCTAGCTGATATAAACTCATGATTGGTGTTCTTTTAAATATATTGCAGTTGAAACTCAATTTAACAAAGCGATGTTTACACGTTTGTCCTATTTCGTTAAAACGATAATTTCGGTGAAATGAGAAAGAAAGTTTTCGAAGTTAAAGTCGGTGATGGTGACCCGCACATGGCGACGCCATGTGCGGGCGATGCAGGTTATATATGTACGCGGTGAAGTTAAAGGCGACCAGTATGTACTATGCAGTGACACGGAGGATCAGTGGAGTGATGGTGTGAGCAGGCCGAGCGAAAATGTTGACAGAAGATCAGTGCGGTCTGTCTCATATACAGCGAAATAAAGAAAGCAACCACAACCTCCACTGGCAACATCCGGCCGCGGCGTAGGCTAGAGTTAGCACACCAGGCCCATGTTCCCCCCCCCCCCCCCCCCCCCCAATTTTTTACCAGTTGCATACTTAAAAACAAAAAATGATAATTTCAGTAAGCCCCCCCCCCTCCAAAAACAAAAAACATTCTGCTGACGCCGTTGCCATCCGGTACGTAACAGCGCTACTGATTGTCTAGGATGTTGTGAGGATTGACGTGGCCTGAGGCCTCGTCGCACTAAAGCTATATGACCGTAACTACAGGCCTTATATGTTTTAAGATGATATAGTTCGAGAGAATTCTCGTATAAAATCTCATGTCGGTCAAAATAAGACAGAAATGATGCGCACTTACTCGATATTAATGAGTACTAACAGATGATGAGGGCAAAGAAAGTATGGGGGATTGGAAGTAATTGTAATGTGAATGAGAAGAAAGGTTTGACCATTGCTGGCGGCCAGTTATCTTCTAGTGCACTTTCTTTTCTTCATATTTACATTAGGTTCTAATAACATCCGCTATACATTTCCTAGCATGTTTGTTATTTTACATGATTATTGTATCTAACAATGAATATGAGCCCTCAAGTTTACATATTTTCTGCCTTCCTACTCGGTTATATCAAGAAAAACTTCGTTAACAAAGGCTTGGTGGCCACATTATATAGTACGTTGATTCTGGTTGGTGACAACATCGTACGAGTATTTTTAAGGGAATACATTTTTTTTCTCGTTAGGTAGAGGACTTCGTAAAACCTTGTTTCTTTAGATCGAGTAACAACTGTGGCGCCAAGATAGCAAATATCGAGGCGTTTAGGATCAAGTGGAAGAACTCTGACAATGCTGACCCATTACGACCGATATAGAGAGCGTATTAGACGTTCTAGGTAGACTGGTTGGTGTGAATTGACTTCAGGTATTAATAATGAATGAAGGGAAGAACAAAATGTCGAAAACAAAATGACGTCGTACGAGAGTTCAACTGTGGATTTGCGAAAAGTGTTCATTCACGATATGTAATTCTGAGAATGGCCGCATGGTAGTGTGTGTGTGTGTGTGTGTGTGTGTGTGTGTGTGTGTGTGTGTGTGTGTGTGTGTTAATTACGATCGAAAGGTGTGTGTGTGTGTGTGTGTGTGGTGTGTGTGTGTGTGTGTGTGTGTGTGTGTGTGTGTGTGTGTGTGTGTGTGTGTGTGTGTGTGTGTGTGTGTGTGTGTGTGTGTGTGTGTGTGTGTGTGTGTGTGTGTGTGTGTGTGTGTGTGTGTGTGTGTGTGTGTGTGTGTGTGTGTGTGTGTGTGTGTGTGTTAATTACGATCGAAAGGAGTGCAGGCAAAATGAATGTGCGTATCACAGGGAGCCAGTGTATCACAACCCTACAGTTAGTCCAGAGGTTAGTCGGCACATTCTCCAAGTTAGCCTATACGGTTCGTGGTTGAATGAAAAAAAAAATGAAACATGAGAAATAGTGGAAGAGGGGGATTTCCTTACGCACAATTAGAAAAAAAAAAAACTGCAAACGGTGATTACGTAGGTACAGAACCCGCGAGACTCCTGCCTATGAAAAAGTTTAACACAGACTGTAATTTCAGAGCAGCAGCTGTTCTTGCTACTGTGTTAGCCAGTTTTTTGCCTCACGGGAATCGAGTGTGGGTGAAATAGAAAACCACGGTTTGAAGATGAATGTAGGTGAAATCAGCGAGCTCGACATGTAGCTGCAAAGCGTTGTGCATTCCGATGCAACAAATTTGTTAGCTAGCTCCCTGAAAGCGTTCGTTCTTAATTTGTATTTGTCTCTAAACAAAAAGAAAAAAAAGCCTTGCTTCCTCTACATGTGATATAAGACAAGCTAGACGCCCCCATTCGCATTAGGCAGTGCTTCCATGTAAAGGACAGCAACTTTGTTGCCAGTGCGTGCCCGACAAGCGTGCCCTTCCTGACTTGTTCATTACGTTGAAAGCATTGCCTCGAACCTCCGCTCCAGTCCGTGTCATTGCAGGAACAATAAACTCAGGCTCAAAGCTAAAGGAATGAAAGTACTTCAAAACCACAGCCAGCCATAACAATTTCACCGTCTTGCTGTGATTTTATATTGCTGATATTCCACTCTGTGCGGTGTGCCTCGATATCCTAAACAACGACAGGAAATGTATTGAGGTATGGCGGCGGATGCACTTTCCTTTTTGCTTTGTTTTTTTTTACATCATTTTTTTGTTCTTGTCGTGAGGGTAGGTACAACACATGTGTGGAGCACGGGCCCGACAGCGCCGACAGGCTGATACGGGCGCATTTGAGCGCAGGTTTGATTACTACATAGTCTCAGGTGCTGTTGGATGGCCACTTTTATACGCTATTTATCAAACTTCCGTGTTAAACTTGGCCTGTGCCAGCCTTGATCGCGATCAAGTGTCCATATAACACCGAGATCATGGAATGTTGTTGAAGAGGTATAATAATAATAATAATAATAATAATAATAATAATAATAATAATAATAATAATAATAATAATAATAATAATAATATTGAGAGACGGCTCCGGCAATTTCGAC